CGGGAGAGTTGTGAGGTTCGAACTCCAGCAACCTGAGGCTGACAGCTTTGTGGAAGCAGCCACTTAAAGGCCTGAGCTAGGGCCAGGCCCCCTACTCTGCATCATTGATCACTTTCCTCTGTGGCCCCATAATCTCCTTGATCAGAATTTGGGACACAACTGAGTTACATGACATTACCGTACAAGTTCTCGTATGTCCTGAGTCTTAATTGACTTTGGAAGGCTAGGGCCAAAATGTTGGTTTTCCTTGCGACCCTCCTTTTTCTCTAATTTTTGGTCTGCAAATTTAGGTTGTTAACCCTCTAGAAGAGAAGCTTATTGTTATTACTATATAACCTAGGCTGCTGAGCTTAACCTCACTATCTGTCTGAATATCATACATCTTAGGCATAACATCTGTTAAACTTTAGATATATTTTTCTTGAGTTTTTCAGTCAGCTCTTTAAGTGTTGAGAGGATTAGCATTTTATGATTTAATTTAGAAATATTTTCTTTTGGCTTTGACTTTCCCTGTCAGGTTTTTGCCATGCAAAGGCTCTTAAAAAATTATTTGTAGTCATTTATCAATGAAGTTTTTTATTGCTAGTTGACTTTAATTCACTTTTTAACTTTATTTTTATTTTTATTTATTTTTTATGTATTTGGTTGTTTCAGGGTCTCACTACCCAGTTCAGACTTGTAGTAATCCTCCTGCTTTCAGCCTCCCTATGTAACAAGAGTTGGAGCTTTTGGATCTGATAAATTCAGTCAAATCCCTGGGATTACAGATGTGTGCCACCATGCTCAGTCTCTGGCTGGCTTACACCCTGGGGGCGGGGCTGGCACAGCATGTGGTGCCGGGGATTGAACCATGGTCTGAGCACTTGCCTAAGTTTGCCTAAGCAGGTGCTTTAGTCTGCTGAGCTATCTGGGGGCCCCTTTAATTCCTTTTTTTTTTTTTTTTTTTGTGGAACTGGGGATTGAACTCAGGCCCTTGTGCTTACCAGGGAAGCGCTTATTCTACTGAGCCATCTCCCTGGGCCCCCTTTAAAAAAAAAAAAAAAAATTAAATTCACTTTTTAAGGTTAGATGCAATAAACTTTTTAAAATATTTTTTATTTATTTAGTACAGGCTCTCACTACATAGCTCAGACTTGTAGTGATCCTCTTGCCATAGCCTCTCTAGCACTGGTATTATAGCAGTATGCCACCACATCTGGTCTTGGTCTGGCTGAGAGCACCCAGGGTTCTGGTTCGCACATGGCATGTGGTACTGGGGATTGAACCTGGATCCTTGTGCTTGCAAGCAGGCACTTAGACTGTTGAACTATCTCCCTATCCCACAGTAAGCTATTTAAAATTACAATTTTTTTTTTTTTTCTCATTAAACTTTGTTTTAATAGGTCTCAAAATTCTGTGACAGATTTT